GAACACATCACTTCCACAGGCAATCCCTCTTCAATGCAGGTCTGTGAGCGAGTTCTGTAGGCACTCTATCCGTGCATCTTCAGCATTCAATGCCAGCAGAACCCTCTGGGTCTTACACAGGTGTGTTTTAATACTGTAAGTCAATGATGGCCCTGCAGACCTGGGCCATGGACACCTGGCTGTGATGCAGGACCCAGAGCCTGGTCTGTGCGTGTTTTTGAAGAAGATGGGAGGGTGTCCTTTACACCCCTTTCTCTGCTGTGGAAATTGAGACTTCAGAGAGGATGTGAGAGCTGTGCACTCACACTGATAGTCCCACGGGTACGTCACCTTCCTTCCAGTTCATGTTGCTGAGTTTTCCMTGGCAGGTGTGCCAGAATAAGACCATCTGCATACACTATTGAGCTGACAGAGATCACTTGCCACACGGCTGTGGCTMAAATGCCTGCTGTGCCCCAGACAGCACGTCCACGCTCTGACAAGGGTACAGGCCCTGGCCTTCCTTCATGTTGCTGAGCCTAAGAGTGCCTAGGGACCCAGGGTGCCAAGCCCAGGGTGACAGCTCAGGTCTTCCTTGAGTGTCTCTGGGGAGGGACTTCGGGTCTGAGCAGCCTTTGTGGCACCATGAGCACTCATCAGGGAGACAGGCATTCCCTCCCTGGAGCTCTCTTAAAGCTTGACTGTGGCTCCAGCCCCTCCAACCAAAGTCTTGGCAAAACTAGACCAAAGTCTAGTTCAACCCAAACAAAATGAGGAGCCCCAGGTCCCAAGCATAGGCATCTTGTGATGTTCTGTTCTCCTGCTCTTGAGTTCATTGCAGTGTGTTCACAGCCAGGCAGACTGAGAGTGACACTGCTTCAAAGTAGCATGCTCTCCTTCCCACCTTTGTTTCCTCACTTCTCTGGGCCTGTGACCAATCAAGGAGTGAAAGTGAACACCTCCTCCATCACCTCCCACCTGTGGGCCCAGACTTGCCTCGAGTGAGAGTGCCTGTGAATGCCTCAGCTTCCTAATGCTTTTGTCCATGTTCTTCTACAGCCTACAGGCTCAGGGAATCCCTGCTTTTGGACATTTTGTGTAWTCATGAGTATATTTGATGTCTATTTTTTTTATCAGGCATATCTATCAGGATGCCCTGTAGGGCAGAATTTGGAAGGGTAGAAATGCAGGAATATCATCTGCTCTACTGGAAGGCTTAGTACTTGCTGCCCAGCATTGTTACTCTGCTGTGGTACCAATTCCAGATCTTAAACTCCATTGCTTAAATGCCTCTCCACTTGAAGACAGGAATGAAAATTAACCTGAGGGCAGCATTTAGCCTGCAGCAGCAACGTCCCTAGGAATGATGGAGCAAGAGGAAAAGACCCTCTCTCGCATCAGCCCAAGTTTGCCACTTTGATACAGAGCAAAGCTTCTCTCAGGCCTGTAATGTGAACAAATTCAATAAAGACCTCACTTATAGACTGAGCAGTGGTTTCCCACAAGGCCATTTTTGAGACATTTTTCGGAGTAGAACCACAATTTAAGGGGAAAATAACTGCAGATGTAGAAAAACAGCGTCGTTTTGAGAAGCGCACGCGTAYGATTGGCAGGAAATTCAATGCAAAGGTTGAAGTTAAAACAACACTATTTGGAAAGTACCAAAAATAACTTAGAGAGCGTCTAGAGATCTTCACAGTGTATCATGTCAGGAGGTGAACTTCAGTGGCCATCAGGGCACCTCTGCCCTCTTCCCCTCACCTCCTGCTGGTTCTGCACTCTGACCACTGCTCTGCTCCAGAGGGCCATGAGGACAGGACACCGAGATGGATCTACTGAGCCCTCTGCTGAGCTCATCCCTGGGAGCTGGGCAGTTTGCAAGGCATCCCGGTTAACCTGGCACTCTGGTCCCATTGGGAGCCAGCAAAGGGAAGGGATGTTCTGAGCTTAAGGARTGTGATGAGCTGATGAATCATGGGGTAGTTTGACACCACACAATGCTTTTGCTCTTCACACTTCTTCTCTGTCTCTGTTCCCCTGTTCACCTTTGCCATTTTGTGGAGACTCTCAGTGGACATGCAACTGAAAATGAGTAGTTTCAGCAGCATTGCTCTTTTCTAATGAAAGCMGTGTGAGGGGGGAAAATCTTGTGCGTAAGCACATGCCTCAATCTTGAGTATTTTTAAAACTTATGCTGCCTCTGAAACACCAGTCTGGCCCAAACAACACCTTTAACCAAATCTCCATTATCACACTTTTACCTGCTGCTTTAACACTGAACAACAACACTGACGGCAGAGATTACCCATCCCAGCCACTGTTATGGGGACAGGAAGGTAAAGACAAGAGCACCTCGCATGTGTTACTGACGATGCGGTTTTGTTTGACTTCTCACATTACAAATGGCGCAATTCCTAACAATATCAATGTAAAGGAGATTAAAAGTGCCACGTTCTTGGTAGCACAACATCTTGAGCAATCAAGTTCAAAAATCGTGCTGGCAGCAAGCATAATTTATATGTGTCAGATGGGGTCTGGACATAATACCATCACTGTGTCTCTGGAGGAAACCCTTTCCTATTTATGTCACACTGTTTTTGCTTCAACACATTTTAAGCTGTTTCCAATGAAAATGTGCTAAGGATGTTTGTGTCTCCACACATGGAGGGCTGTTTGTCTGTTASCTGATCTGTGAGACCATTCCCCCTCCCTTCAGAATCTGGGAAAGGTCAATCTGTTCCAGTTGCCCTTGACAAAGAGRTATAATCTCTATTACTCTTAAGCAAGGGGATCTTGGTAGAGGAGTGCTGGTTTTCCACTGGGACYCTCCATGGGGAAGTCTTCAATGTGACATCAGTCCTCACTAGACAGCAGAAAATCTGCATGAGGATCTGTAGAAAAGAAAGAGATCTGGAAAAAAACAGCCTCCAGAGAGGCAGCTGATCAGATAAATCATTGTTTCCAACTGTAGCAGCCGCCCATCTTCTATAGGGACAAACTACATGTCAAGTTTTCCTCTTCCACTGTTTCAAGTACCATAGTGTACAACCCATCTCATATGAGTTTTACACACTAAAAAAAAAAAAAACAAAAAAAAAAAAAAAAAAAAAAAAAAAAAAAAAAAAAAAAAAAAAACCAAAAAAAACAAACAAGAGAATCAGTGATAAACTGAACAATAAATAAATCTGTGCTTTGTACTCTTGCTTTCCCAAAGTGATCTCTGGTCTTAAGGAAGATGTAGATTTCTCTAGTCTGAAGAATGTACAGGAAAAATTGTGGTTAATTTAAATGCTCCATTTCAGCTGCAATGCTGGTGATGCCATGAACTTACAGAGCATTTCATTGCTTCTGCTGAGGATTTCTGTGCCAGAGTAAGCTGCATTCATTTTTAGAGTTTTTGGGAAACGTGGCCTGTGGCCTGATGATCCGCGCCATTACAGGTCCATCCCAATGGGAGCCTCCACAGTGCAACACACACCACCAACAATTCCCAGAGCAGCAGAGCACACAGCCCATCCTCTCCCCTGCTCCTCTTCAGCAGAGGCTGGCTGGTTCTGATTCCCCAGTTGTCTTCCCAAAGACTGGCCATGACAAGAGTCTAAAGATTCTTGGCCAGAGCATCTAAACGACAGCTGTCAGGACTCCTGGTCCTTGTCGTGCGTGGTGAAGAAAGAGGAGCTGCACTTCACTGCTGCTGGCTGAAGTGAGTGCTTGGCTCTGAATTTACTGCAGTGCTTTCCCAGAAACGGCCATGAGGATCCGCTGTTGCAGCCTCCTGCAAAATGGCCCATGCCTTCAAACTATTGTTTTGCTCCAACACTATTTCTTTTTGAGGTCTAGTATTTTCTGAGATCCAGTCTTTGGTCTGGGCTTCCTGTGACTAAGAACTCATCTTCCTCCTACACCCTTTTTCCACCACCTGAATCCAAGATCCCTTTGTTGTTAAACTAGGTCCCATCCTCCAGGTTTGTAGAGTYTTCAAACAGGAACTGCCCAGAGACTAGTGGTCAGCAAAACTTTCTTACCAGACCCGAGCTTGGGCCTTGAGCTGCTCTAGGAGAAAAGGTGAGGAGCATGGGGTGTGGAGACCACTGCACATGTAAGAGGAGACTCTCACCATCTGGCCTCACACCAGTGGCCATTGTCATGCAGCCCACACCAGACAGGAAACGAGATGTGCTGCACTTCAGAGAACTGTATTTGTGTATGGAAAAAAGAGAGGGGTGTGGAGACACATATGCAGGCCCGTGTCTATCTGTGGATGGGGCGACCATCAAGCTGTGGATCTGCATTTGTATGTCTGCCTTGCCCTGGGATGTGAAGGCAAAGAAAGAGGCTATCTGTCTGCAAAGGTGAGGGCATAGGAAGCTTTAGAAGATGGTGGAAATATTGTTTTGTATTTTTGTCTGGCCTGTTGAATGGACAAGGTATGCCAAACAGGCACTGCAGCTACTGCAGGACAGTATTGCCTGGCTGGACTAGCTGCATGGCTCAGGTCAGAGGGGGTGGTTCTCCCTTCTGTGGAGTGAATGGGGTGTGTGGCTGGGTAGGGAGGCAGTGGGATGGGTGTTCTTGTGGTGTCACACTATCTGCRAGTGTGAGGGTGTGCCTCAAGCTTTTTCACACTCAGCATTGGCCTTGTTTCACTCCCACTCCAACCCAGAATGGGTCCTCTGAAACTGGGGCAATGATGTCTGGTTTCATCCTGGTGTTGCTCAGGTCAACAGCTCCAGTTTTTTTCCACAAATTGGCCCATGGTAGTTCTACTGCAGACAGACTCCTGTCTCCAGTTTCAAAATGATCTGTAAACTTGTGTGGACCCTGAGAGCAATATGGGTGATCCATTTGGGTGTCTGAAAGGGGAATCCATGGGTATTGCCAATGTCTCAAGAGGACAGGTCCTTTTCGCTCTCTCTTTTGCCCCCCAGCAATGGTTTGAAACTGGTCCCAGTATGTGTGAGCAGTACTAACACCTGACCCCTCTAACCCTGTTTCTGCACCTATTGCTTTATCAGCAGGAAGTAGAACGTGGTTTGGGGCTTTTTTTATTCTTGGCCTCGCTAGCCTTTTCGATACTTCAGGTCCTTGTCTCAGTCTGACAAGGCAAGCGCAGCAGCAGCTTCCTGTGCACAGGTGAGAGGGAGAAGACAGAGAGAACATGAACATATGAGAGAAAGAGCTTTGGAGCAGAACTGCTGGTCTGGAGGTGCCACTTCTCTCATGGATGTGCTCTGAGCCAGGATATCTGCCTTCATCACTCTCCCTTTTTTCCCTTCCTCTCACTGTTTCACATTCAGCACCTACTGCCAACCAACTAAGGACCCCAGGGACTCCCTTCATCTGGACCACTCGCTAACTGGAACTGGAAGGTAAAAAGGGGGCAATGTCAGCTCTCTCCCACATGGGGGTGGCTGATCTGAAAGCATCTTAGAAGGAGTTTCAATCTGACAAACTGAATCTTGCCGTTGGGAAGGRCTGAGAACATATTTATCTCTGTCTCTCCACAACCCTCTCAAATCATATCCCACATCTCACAACCACACCACCCGCTTTCTCCCCTTCTCTCCTGTCTGCTAATGTGCTGTCATCATGTTTTTCTTCCTCTGAACCTAATCTTTTATCATGACAGGAATTGGTATTAAGCTCATGCCAGCCCTTTATAAACCCTTTTTTCCTGCTCCTCTGGAAGTCCTAGCAATATCCAGTGGGGCTCTCCTCTTGTTGTGCTCAGGTCTGCCTGAGCTCCAGGGCTGGTCAGAGGTGAGGGTGGTCCCTTCTCCTGAGGACAGAGGCAGATCTCAAGATACGGGTGTCCAGGTGGATGGGAGAGAGAGAGGCTTGGATCAGCAGACTGGAAGGCCAGTCTGTCTAATATGGAACATGACTGTATGAGCTTTGAAAGACAAACAGGCTCCCTGGGCTGGATGAGGGCTGCTGCAGGATATCCTAATTATGAAGCGCAAATTTTCTGATGTGCCTAAAATCATGACTGCTTCCAAGGCAGAGCAAGGGTCTACTTGGAGGGGATGGTGCACAGTTTGTGCACAACTATGTGATATTTTTTGATATGGTAAAGCCTTGACTTTCTAGAACCTGATAAACACTTTCCTCTCCGATTCACTCACCTGTCCCAAACATGCTATTCAAAATCTGCCTCCTAAGTCATGAGCTCTGCAACTAACTTCTGTCAGTTGCATCCAGAGACCATCTTACTCAGCAAGCACCTAGTTATTTCAGCCCTAGGGTTTACCAAAAAAAGAAGCTCTTCAAAGCACGAGCTGTGCACAGCCGAGGCAGCACTCTCTACCTGAGTCAGCAAGCAGCCTGAGACAAYGCACACGGACTGCCGTGCACTCACGCATTTGCAGAAGACATGATTCCTGCAAACAGCCTCTCTGTGCTGCCCTGGGAACAGCTTCACTGCTGAGCAAGAGCACCCAAGGCAGGAAAACAGTGAGGTGCCGARGGAAAAGTGCAGACACCGGAGTGGAAGGGATATGAGTTTGTGAACCCGGAAGACYGGCACTGCATCCTAGGATGGTGGACACCTCCTGTGAGATGACATCTTGACATCTTCCTATGTTCCATTGCTGAGTTGTGTTGTGGGGGTGTCTTCTCTCTTTCAGTATGTCACCAGTACTGATGAAGCCCTCATTGCTGCTTCTGTTTCACCTCTGCCTGTTCAGCCTCATGCCTCCCTCATGGGCATCAGACTCGGCACAAGGTAAGGAGTGTTTCCTTTCACTTGTGCCAGCTGTGTGAGCAGGGAGGGGAGTCATCCAGGGCAGTGTACGTTGCTGTGCAATGTTTTTGTTGTAAGATGCAGCCGGAGGAGCTTGCAATATTACGTCAGGTCTCTTATGAGCACATCAGCCACCATGGATATAGAGAAATTAGTGGCTCTGCTTTTGTTACTTGGACTTATCCAGCAGAGGAGTCAGTCTGTAGGTTGGGATGGGGCAGAATTGTCCAGGGAGATGATTAATGCGAGCATCATTGCTAATTAAGCCACTTTGTTGTCCATCTCTTCTCTGCTGGCAGGTGCCTCCAGCCTAACTTGTTGGTATGACTCACGGGCAACTTTCTTCTGTGACTGGGACCCAGGGAGGGACCTGGTACAAGCACCATGCCAGCTGGAGATTTTATCAAAGAAAGGCTTCTGTGACAGGTAGGTAATGGGAGAGGCTGAGGAAAAACAATGCCACTTAAGAAAAGTGTAGGCTCCCCCTTCCCAGGCCAGGTGTAGTGGAGTCACAGAGTTGAGGTGTTTTGTCTCAAACTCTGTCTCTGACTCCATGTGGACTGAGATGCTGGCAGCCACTGCTCAGGTTTTCCCATGTGACAGTCACAAACTGTCCAGCACAACCCCTCTTCCAGCTCCATGGTTCTATCTGAACTCCATTTTGCAAAAAAATCCCTCTTCCTTGGCAGCCACCCTCAGGACTAAAAGGTATTTTTAATGGAAAATGGGGATGCATAGAGATAGGGCCGGAGAAGGGTGGAATTGAAGTTATACAGAGGACATCTGGCGATTGCCAGGGTAAGCTGAGATGTTGCACCCTGAGTAACAATGAAGAAAAGTATTGCCCTCCTCCTCTCCCCTGGCTCCTTCATCTCTTCCAGTTCATGATGTTTTCCTCTCCCATATGCCTCTAGACACAGGGGACGTGTTTGGCCAGTACTGCAGTGGGGGCTGGCTGAGTCTCTGTCATCTCCATRTAGGACATCTGCAGCTACAAGTCTTACCAATCTTTCCCAAGACTGCCCTTGGGTGGCCTGGCTTGAGGAGAGGCTCTGTGTGATTCTGGCATTGGGTAGCTTACTTGGGGCTRTCACAGTGACACCTCCAACAGGGTTGGATTGGCAAATATATCCTAGGGCTGGTGCACAGACCTAGAAAGCTAGAATATTTATGTTGTTCCATGGGTGCAAGAGAATCACAGAAAAATCATAGAAACTGCAGCTGGAATTGGGGCTGAATTTGTTTGACCAGGGCTGTAGGAGAAAATCCCTCCCCACTGTCAGCAAGTCCCAGGCCTGTTCTGCCTGGGACTGGGACAGTGTCGTGGTTTAGAATGCTGGCCGAAAGCCAGGCACCCACAGCACCTGCTCATTCGCTCTTCTCCACCACGACTGGGCAGAGAATAGCGAAGGGAAAAAAAAAATTRACAAAAGGGTTCATGAGTTGAGAAAAGGAGCAGGGAGGAAAACGCTTGACAGACAAAACAGGCTCTACTTAAGTTATAAAGTGAATTTATTACTAACAAAGTCAGAGGAGGAGAATGAGAAATAAAATACAACCCTCAAAGACACCAATCTTCTCCCCACTCCCTCCCC